TCGCAAAAAGTATGTCCAAAATATTTATGATGCTGGATATACACGGAGTTCCTCGGTCACTGGCAATGGTATTTTCTCTTGCTCCCTTTTCTCTGACAATAGACTAGTAGTCACCGAAAAGCAGAACACATTCAGGAAACACTGAATCCATAATCAGAATCGCCTGATTTTTTTGTCTCAATGCTTGGGAGCATGTCGTGACTCTCACTTCTCTCTCAGCTGGCTGTTCACTCATGCTGTGGCAACTCTGTCACTTTGCGAACTTGAGTTTGTTTTTTCCTAACCGCCCAGTGGCCACGAGGTGATAAGCTCAACTGTCGAGACTGGGCTATTCAAGACGAGCGTGTTCTAAGACTTCAAATGACATGCCAAGGAAGGCGGCTGGCCTTGAGGTGAGAGCCCCACTGTGGGACTCAGAGGTGTGTTCAGCTCCCCGTGGCCAGTGACTGCCGTGTGGCCTTGAAGCAAGTCACTTAACCCTTCTCGGCCACTGCTCCCCCCGTACTAAATGAGGCCAATCATTTTTAACCTCCTGCAGCAGTGCCATAAAGAACTCAGGAGGCACTCAGCTATCTCTGCTGCCAAGAACAATACATGTACAATGAGGCACATTGATACTGTCATGGTATCCTTGCAAATCAATGCCCCTTGTACAGACAAACGCACACCACGGAAGGAAGGAAGGAAGTGCAGCATTCTTTCCCTGTCTTTACTGGAGTTATTGCTGTGACTTAATTTTTCCCAGTAGCCTGACATTTCATAAATTGGTCTGCGTGTAGGATGGAGGGGAATTAGAAGCTCCTCACATAGCATATCGTCTGAAATCCATCAGAATCGACACCCAGACTTGAACGCATCTACTGATCAATTATGAAAATTGTGACGTGGCAGAGCCCTGTGTCTGTTCGGCAGTAAGTTCTAGATGGTACTGATCATTGCAACAGTAAGACACTAGTGATGGAAGCGGAGCCCCAGCAAAAGCTCACAAGTCGAGTATCATTACACACAAACTCAGAATCTAAAATATGCAGCTGGCACTCCCTATTTGGAACATAAAAGGATGAGTTCTATGAGCCACCAGAGAGAGCCAGCAGTACTTTTGCTGGCAAGAGTGCATCCAATGTGGGAGAAAACCAAAAGTTGGTTAAAATTCTTCCCAGACATTCTAACCATATCCTGTATCATACGGCGTCCAACTGCTTCCAGGTCTGTGTCTTGCCAAACGCCCAAGACTGCCGTGTGAATAGCAGAGAGAAGTGGAGAACACACCATGGTGACAAATGGAACAACACCTGTCACCTGTTATGAACTGACAACATGAGTCACAAGGAGCAATTCAAGAGTTTGTATGATTATTTGCCACTTCATATTGGCTGTGTCTACACTAGCCCCTTCTTCGGAATAGCCATGCTAATTTAGAACTTTGGAATAGGGAAATGCACGGGGGATTTAAATATCCCCCGCGGGATTTAAATAAACATGGCCGCCGCTTTTTTCCCGGCTTTTCTTTCCTTTCAAGTAGGAATAAGAGATCCTCCGAAATAGGGCTTTATTCCGGAGGATCGCGCCAGTCTGGACGCTCTTTTCCGGCTTTTCCCCAAGCCGGGAAAAAAGCGGCGGCCATGTTTATTTAAATCCTGCGGGGGGGATTTAAATCCCCCGCGCATTTCCCTATTCCAAAGTTCTAAATTAGCATGGCTATTCCGAAGAAGAGGCCAGTGTCGACGTAGCCACAGTGTTTATTCTCCACCTGGGCAAAGGATAAGCCTGTGCCATCTACCTGGAGAGAGACGGGGGGAGAACACTGCAACTTCTAGGTCAGCAAACCTGCCCTGAACGCTATTTGCTACAGCTGCTCTCATCAGCCCTGTTCCAAAGCTTTGTTAGGTGCAGTACAGGCATTCGGAGGGCCATATCCATTTAACGAACGATCCCATTTGCAGCCATGGCAGCAATGGGGCACATCTACTTATGTTAGAATGGGCCATGCAGTCTGTGCTAACGCTTTAAAGCCAGGGGGAGAAAGCAATTCCTGTCAACATCAACGCCAGCAAGCTGTTGATAGAGGTAATATTCTGCAGTGATACATCAGGCAGACACTCTTAGCTATTTAAAGAAATAAGGCGAAGATCCACTCTCTTGCATCCCTCAAGTGTTTTAAAAACATATTCTCCCTTCTCTCCACTGATTAAACACTTGGCAATTTTGCAATTATTGCCACGACTATTTCTTGCAGCTGTCCGGGCTCCCAGTGCCTTTTACCTGACTCACCCAGAGTTAGGACAACGGCCACAATCCTAAACACAACAGAGAAGCCAGGCGAGATAAAATGAGAGGAAATGGATTGGAACTGTCCCATCCTAGCCTGACCCATTACACAATTTTGTCATTCATATGAGCACTAAGGACAGCTTCTTCCCATCTCTGGGCAATTATAGGAACAGCAGTCAACAATTCAATCAAATTATCTACTCAGATTAGCAAAGCAAGATGAAACACATCTTAAAAATTACTGTGCTGCAAAATCGAATAGTTACAATGCTCGATAATATGACTGGATCAATTCTCAACAGAACTGAACAGGTGAGAATTTAATATATAGAATTCATATGATGTTTTACTTCTGGTTTTTGCAATTCAACAGCTGCCAGCATGGACACAAACTATATGAGAAAATGCAAGAAACGAACGCGAAATAGAAAGAGACACAATGAGTTAAAATTAAGGGTTGCTGTTGGCTTCCTAGCCCATCCCCCCTTAGCTAATCTGTCATGTAATGAAGAGAAGCACCCAGCACAGGACAGCTAGCTGCCGGCTCACTTACAGCAAGCTGATTAAGAATGTTCAACCAACAGCAGACTGCAGACCTTTCCAACGAAAATAAATAGACTATATGCAAATGTGTTTGTCACTTTGACAGCATGTCTCAATTAAGGCATCTCGCTGCTGTTGGTAGGCTCTGGCGCTGCAGAGGTATGGGTGAGCCAACTGCATTACTGATACACAGGGCTTGACCCTAATCCACATGCATGCATTTTAAAAAATTCTGCCTTCACCACATTCACTAGCATAATACTAGCAGACATGGAAAGCAAGTGACAATAAGAAAAAAGCCTCTTTCATCCTCTCCAGTGTATAAGGCCTGCGAATGCACAAACAGCTCTTATTCCAGCAGCTTTCATGCCTTTTTAATTGATTCCCCACCTCACTTATATTACAAGGAGTTAAAAGTGACACTAACATCTCCCCCTTTAATCACCAGTTAGAGTTCATTTATCATTTAAAGAGTAAAAGTTGATTTTTTTCAAGGCCTTAATTTATATTTCCTAAAACTGAACACCTTTCACCTGAAGGGAAGAATTGTTCATCTGTCTATCGCGTGTGGCACTATCATCAGAAGGAATGTCTGAGCAAACAAGACAGACCTACCACTATCAAGTTACACAATTTTTTGGAAATGGACATTTGTAATGTAATGACAGTAATATGCACTTAGCAAGTGAGACTTTCGCCTCCACTGCTGGTTCACTGAACCTGATGCGTATTTCTTTTGACAAAGAGAAAGAGATCTTTAAAAAAAAAATTGAAACTGATCATACCCCTCCCCGCCTATGACTTTGGGTAAGCACTTTTCACCTGATTATCTACTTCAGTAATCCACCACAGTGCTGGGATTATCCACTGCTCATGGAAATGTAAAATGTGAGGGGTGGGAGGAAGGAATTCCCAAACACAAAAAAATGTAGGGTTTGCCTGGATTTCAGAATGTTTTTAATGAAAGGCAATGTTTTCCTGGTGGCTAAAGATGGCTGCATTTCTTCAGTAGTTCCAAATCCCTCAACTATATTAGAGCTGAAAAATAAAGGATAAACCATCACTTCAAAAAATTAATTGCAATGGAATCTATTTGAGAAAACCTCCTACAACCTGCATTTAGCACAACAGCCGAAGTCCTAAAAGCGTACAATCAAATTCTAAAATAAGGAAAAGAAAGATCTAAAGGAAAACTGAAAAGTAGATGCTGTAATAAATTACTGCTTAAGTATATGCAGATATGATTGAATACCTAAATAGTAAGAAATCAGTTATATTAACTTGCTAGGCATATGCTTTACTACTATTGCTCTTGTTTATGTAAAAATATGGCTTCCTGTCATTTTAGAACTTTCATTTTCTGAAAAATCACTGTTTTAACCATATTAATTCTAAATTTGTGTTTGTTAAAGAAACCAGATAGTCATTTCTGTGCTCTAATAAGCCTCATAGATTAAACAAGGCAAAACAACAGGCACACCGAATAAAGTGACTATAAAATATCTTTTACAAACACAAACCGTTAATGTAAGCTATGCTGGAAAGTGGATTGTGAATACTACATGTTTTTCCATTCCAATTGTAATGATTTAATACAACATTTTCTACACGATTAGATAGAATAAAACCAGCTATTTTTTGTAGACACATCGTCAGAAACATAATAAGGATAGCTAGTATTTGGAGCTCAACTGTCGATATTGAAATATGGAGCACTATTAAAGAATTATTAATTGATTTTTTCCCCACTGGAGTTCATTGCTTTTAAATTTTGAAGTCTGCTGAAGTGATAATAATTAGATGTTTTGTGCTAACACTAATGATCTGCTTAGATAACTGAAGACACCTTAAATAATGTACTCTGTTGTACTAACGGGATGTAGCACGCTGCACGCTAATGGAACAAGCGAATAGTTTGTTATTACATTGATGTAAATAAATGGTACAAAATCTTGCAAATTCATCTAAAATACAATTTGCCCCAGGAAAATATCTTATACACAAACGAAACCACAAAATATGATAGTCTCCCAAATGTGTAGGTGAAATGCAAAAAACCAACACAACTCCGAGAACGACCTGCGAAAATGAATGAAAAGACTAAAGTGACCTTGCAACAATCTTTCAATTAAACATTTGTGCCAATCTATAACACATATAATTTAAACAAATCTAACACCACATACCTGTCCAAAGTGAACTGTGATTGGTCTTCTATCTTCTCTAAGCTTAGGTTCCTTCTTTTCAACCAATGGGGAAGGAGCTGGTCTTGGTAGGGACTCTTCTGGTGCTGCAGAACATCCATTCTCAGCAATGTCCTGCGTGGTAGAAAACGGTGAATTTCATGGCCAGGAATATTCCTGATTAACCGTTGGGGCGGAAAGGAGATACTAGAGCATAAACTGATTAAGCATTTTGATGTCAGGACCAAAAGCATGGAAAATTTTAAAAAGCAAAAACATTTAATTGTATTTTCTTTATCATAGTCTATGTGCAGAAAACCCCATAAAATAATTATGCTGCAAACAAACTTTAACTACCAACTATATTAAACAAAATGTGTCTGACTTATATGGACAAAAGCCAGAAATTTGAAAGGCAGGGCTAACGTAGCTCTAACTCCATCACTGAGGGTATGTCTACACAGCAAAGTTATTTCGAAACAACAGCCATTATTTTGAAAAAACTTAACTAGCGTCTACACAGCCAAACCGCTATTTCGAAATTAATTCAAAATAGCAGAATGCTTATTTTGAATTTGGTAAACCTCATTCCACGAGGAATAATGCCAAATTCAAAATAGCTATTTCGAAATAAGTGCTGTGTAGACACTTATATCGCAATAGGGGGCCTCCAGCCTTCCCAGGGTGCCCTGGTGGCCACTCAGCCTCAACCAAGAACACTCCTCTCCCTCCCGCCTCCCAGGAGTCCTTAAAGGGGTTGACTCTGGCCACAGTGCATGTGCCAGCTCCAAGCCTGCCAGCCCAGAGCCAGCAGTCACTGCCCCTGACTCAGTGGCCCCAACACGAGCCAGCAAGCCACCAGCAGCCAGCCCTTCACCGCTTCCCAGGACCAGTCCCCCAGCTCCCAGGAGCCTACCAGGGGTCGCAAAAGGCCTGACTGAGGTTTGGGGGGAGGCCTCCAATGTCCATGATCTCCACACTAGATGCAGGAACGCAGTCATCTACAGCCAGATGGCTGCCAGCCTCGCCACCAAGGGCCACATCTGCACCCAGGAGCAGGTGAGGATGAAAATCAAGGAGCTGTGGCAGGCCTACGCCAGGGT